CCCCCACCCCACCCCACCCCATCTCGCGCCCGCCCCGCCCCTCTGCCAGCGGGGTTCCAAGGGCGGTTGGTCCGTAAAGGCCACGGTCACTCGGCTGCTCGGAGCTGCGGGGCGCGTAGGGTTGAGAAAGCAGCGTAGGGCTGGGAACTACAGAGAAGTTATCTGGGGCCGGGGGACTGGGAGTAAGGGAGGTGGGAACCTGGCCGGAGAAAGCGCAGGGGAAAGGAAAAGGGAAGGGAACCGGGTTGGGAGGGCCCTGGGAGGTACGAGAGACTGCGAGACATTGGGGCCGGGGGCCGATAGCCGGCGGCTAAGGTGAAACCAGACGGCTGGTCGCTCCTGGGAGACACCTGGGCTTCGGGTGCCCGGCCCGGGGAGTGCAGGTCCCCTCTGGGGCGCCGCCAGCTGGCCGCGCCTAGTGTGCGCGAGGAGTCCTGCAGGGGCGGCGCAGCCAAGGGAGTCATCCGCGGACCCCGGCCCTGGGCCTCGCGCCTTGGCACTGGTCGGTGGGCGTCACCCCTGGTAAAGTGTGGGGTCGAGGCCGGCCGCGATCCCGGGCCCACAGGCTCGGAGACAAGGCGTCGGCGCTGCGGACCGTCCGGGAGCTGCAGCCCGCGGGCGCCCGGTGCTCGGTTTGTAGGCAGTGTAATTAGCTGATTGTACTCTGGTGCTTACAATCACTAACTCCACTGCCATCAAAACAAGGCACAGCATCACCCGCCGCCCCGCCGAGAGGAGGACGCCACCCTCCGCGGCAAACGGCCGACAAGAAGCGTTTGAGAGGAGAACGCTGCCCCTCGAGATTTGATGCGTCAGCATTTGGTCGGCATTGCCCTGCGCAGCGAGCACGTTGTCCATGCGAGTAAACCCCCTGCAAACTCCGGCGGGCTGCCGCTTCTGGATACACTTAAGTGGTTCCCCTCCCTAGGAGTAGAAGCAAGAGAGTGCAATCCCACGTAAGAATAGCGAAATCTGTGGAATTTAATTGCTTTAATTGTAAGAAACGGCTGGGAGAAGCCCCCAATGTAACATGTAATGCTGAATAGCTGTGTGATTCATTGTGCCTATTTTTCATTATTTAGTAGGGCGTTCACCAACCCACCAACTAAAGTGAGCTACAGCTGAACCAATGATTTGCTTCTCACAATGCATGAGGCCACCAACTTGAGACTACAGTTTGTGATGAAAGTAAATTTTTTTTCTGTGAGTCTAGTTACTAGGCAGTGTAGTTAGCTGATTGCTAATAGTACCAATCACTAACCACACGGCCAGGTAAAAAGATTTGGAGAGTCATCTAAATGAGCTGCCTGTGCACATCAGTGTGTTTGGGGAAGGGAGGGAGGTCGGAATACTCTAAGATTACCCGTTGCCTATTAATAGCTCAGCCAAGAGAGAAATCAACATTTTAACTGCTAAATATACAATGGATGTAATATATATGTATTTTATATATAATTTTTCAATATTCCTTCAGGCTCCTGACCAGAAAAATTCCAGATAGATTGGGGAATTTTTTCCTTTGCTGATCTATGTCATTGTATAGCTTTGTGATTATCAACTCTTAAAGTATCTTTTCTATGAGACTATTATTTTTAAAAAATAAAGTGCTATATCGTCATAAATTCTGATTATTACCATGTGTCCATTTCCTTAAGTTGTCTTTATTAGGATCATCGCAATTCCTACCACAGTAATTACAGCTTTCCTATCACTGAAAATGGTTCAGTTGTTCCTAGATTAACAAAATCTCCCAGGAAAGCTATTACAAAGCACTGGTTAATATTTTTATACAATACATTAACAAAATTTTTCATAACACTTTCATGAAGGTACTGAGTCCATCAGATGTGTCCCTTCTTTTAAATCATTTATAGCTATTGCAGTCTAGGCAGCTTTTGTTTGGACTAATCAGTAAATGCTGTTACAATATAAATCCAGTTTAAGATTTGTCTTAAAGGATTCAGGAGGGAAATGTATAACAAAAACTCTGTACATGGGTACCCATCCACCCATTTCAGAACTCTAGCTCTCAATAGGATGTTAACTACCCATATTTAATTCTCCAACCAGAGCAGGCCCAGAACTTCCTCGTAGCGGGTGCCTAACTACCACAACCTAGTGTGGAAGGGAGGATTGTGCCAGTGGGGCTAAGGAATTGATAGCTTTTATTTAGATTTGGATATCTTTTGGGGGATGGGAGCCGGAGAATGGGGGAGGCAGGTAGAAGGCTGACGGATAAGAGAGCTGCTACAACTGACTCTAACAGGACAGAAAACGACCCCAAGTTGATGTTTTGACTCTCCTATCTCGACCCAAGTTTAAGATTGGTCCCAAAGTTTGTGATCACTGCAGAAGTGGGCTTCAGATGGCCCACCAGCGCGCGCGGGACCCAAACATCTACAGAGGAAACTAAGGGCTTCCGGTGGGTTGTTGCCAACTTGGCAGTTCTCCGAGGGGCGGGGCTGGGAGAGGAGTGAGGGAGCTTGTAGAAGCGTCCTTAGTTGCTATGGAAACAAGGCCCAGAGCAAGTCCTAGCAGCGGAAAGGAGTCCTGTGAAATTTGTCCTCAGGGATTAATGGTGTTCACCGGTTCTACAGAACAGGACGCAAACTTGGCCAAGCAGTTCTGGATCGCGGCGTCCATGTATCCTCCTAATGAATCCCAGTTGGTACTGTCCAGAGGTAGCAGTCAGCGTCTGCCAGTGGCAGGGTCCTTTAAGAGCAATGCACCTGGTGAGTAGCTGCCTTTAGTTGATGATTTTTGCCTCCACCATGTTGATTCCGAAAGATAACAGAGCCCCTTCCAGGAGAAACTGCCAAATATCATTGTTTTGTCTTTCAATTACAGTTGATATATAATATTATTAGTTTCAGGTATATAGAATAGTGTTTAACCACAATAGTATTTAACCACTAGTGATCACCCCATATGTCTAGTACCCATCTGACACCATACATAGTTATTACAATATTATTAACTATACTCCCTGTGCTATACTTCACATCCCTGTGACTATTTTATAACTGCCAGTTTGTACTTCTTAATCCCTTCACCTTTTCACCCAGCCCTCCAACCCTCCTCCCATCTGTCAACCATCAATTCATTCTGTGCATCTATGAGTTTATTTCTGTTTGTTTGTTTGTTGTGTTTTTTAGACTCCCCATGTAAGTGAAATCATATGGTATCTGTCTTTCTCTGTCTGACTTATTTCACTTAGCATAATATCCTCTAGGTCCACCCATGTTGTCACACACGGCAAGATTTCATTCTTTATACAGCTGAGTAATAGTCCACTGTATATATTTACCACATCATCTTTATCCATTTGTCTATCAAATCTAATTCTAAAATAAGAATCTTTCATATCATGTGTCTAAAGCCCTATACAAATACTTCTTAAACCTTCCACACAAAAAGGATCAGTGGTATCTTTGTACATCTTAAAGTACATCTTAAAGTATCCTTTAGGTTATGGTATCTATTTGGCCAAACAGTATAATCTGAGAAAATGTTGTATCTTGGTAAAAAGGATATTAAGGATAGTCGTTTACATAATTGAGTTCGAACATGAGGTTCCTAGAGAAAGTTAAAGACAGAGTCAATATTAGCAGCCAAGTTCCCTGACCTGTAAGACCTTAGTAAGGCCTAAGATGTGAAAATTGTTATTGTGCAATTTTTATAGATACAGAAAACTATACCTTTAATGCCGTGGTTTTCCAATGATTTCTTTCCTTTTGTATTTTTTAGAGAAAAGTTACTTACAGTCTTTTCTTAAGAAAAACAGTAAGTACCAAGTTATATGTCTTTCAACATCCTGATTCCTAGATTCGTCAGAAAATGGGTAGTAAGTATAAGCATACAAGTTTATATGTTGGCATAACTTTCTGAATTACATATCAACACCCTGCCTCAGGAACCACCCTATTTATCCAGAGGAAAATGCCTAAATTCCTGTAATATGTTGAATAGGAATGTGAAAATTGGAATCTCTGATACTGCAAATATATTCTCTTTAGAGACTTTTTCTTGTCTGTGGACTCAGGCTTACTCATAGATTAGAGGTTCCCTGCAGCCATAGCTAATTAATTCTATTTTCAATTATTTATGAATCTGCTTTATAAAGTTTCAAGATAGTACATATTTGTGTTTACCTTCCTATTCTATAAATTACCTTTCAATCTTTATTTCATTTTAAATCAATATAATTGTAAAATCATGATAAAATTATTTTAGATTGAATTTAACTTTATTTCCTTTAGAGGGTACAGATGTCATTGCTGAAAACTTAAAGATTCATGAATCAGAAGAGAAAGAAAAGTATCTCCAAAAGGTAGGCCAGTATTTCAGAAGGTCATCTGATTTTCATTAAACTTTCTAAATAATCCCAATTACTCTTTTTTAACATGTATATAAAAATTTTCTTCTTCTTTCAAGCAAATGAAAAACCTTGATTTGAATTTTAATTGAAGATTAAGAAATTCTATTAAATTTTGGCTATTCTCAGTCTCTGCAAAAACCCAAGGATGTATAGGAACAACAGAATTGGAGGAGAAAGATGGATTCACACACTTTCATCAATTAGGCCCCAAACCATATACCGTGTTCTAAGAACAGAAATATTGTAAGAACAGGAAAAATTGAATAGAATTGACTGTCTTAATATGTCAAAATTAAATGATCAGAGGAATGAGTCTGTAATCTAGAACCATTTTCACTAAAAGCTGAAATTAAACACACTGGTGTTGTCAAATTAGCTGAACACATCTTTTTTGGCAATATCCTTTGTTTGCTTTGCATGATGCAAGCACAGCCATTAACTCAGCAATTAATGCAGTGATTTATAGAAACATTTTGTTTGGTTAATGGATAAATTCCATTTTTGTAACTGTTCCTGTACTATAAACACAAAGACAGAGGATTCACTTTGGCTTAATGTCTTTAATCATTGGACATATTGGCAAACTCTGAAAGACTTATCGGGAAATCTACATAAATTACAGAACAATGCATTCGAGTGTGCTGATCACATTAATTCACTCTGTGGACTATTGGTGATTCCTCCAAACAAATTAGGTGATTAGCAATAGTCAGCATTTTCTTCTCTCGAGGGTATTAGGTACTACATATGTATACCAGGACTTAAAGGGAGGGAGGGAGCCTAAATTTCAGTGAGGTAAAAATCATTAAAAATAGACTTCTTCAACACTTTTGGACTTAAAGTTTGATTTAATTTAATTGTTGGAAGGGATTAGAAATAAAAAAGACGAACTATTATCAATTTTTGTCATCTTTTGTCAAAAATTAAAACAATATGAGTTACAAGTGGATGTTCTGCTAATGGACTATCTTATATTAGTAGCCTAAGGACTGGATTCCTTGCCTCAGGTTCTTCTATTAACTTATTAATCACTTAATTCCACAGATATTTATTGAGAATCTGCTCTGTACCAAGTACTGTGCCTGATGCAGGAAATGCAAAGATAAGGAGTGGTCCCTGATCTCAAGGGACCACTGGTGGGGAGATAGTGAATTAAAGTCAATAATTATGATACATTATTATGATAGGTATATGCACATAAACTACGGGAACATATTAAAGGACATCAAAATCAAGCTGAAGGATTTAAGAACTCTTCCCAAAGGAGTTGAGTTGCAAAGACTGTATAGAGTTGACCAAAGAATATGCTAGGCAGTTCTCCATACTGCACTAGTTCTCTTACTACAAGCCAAATCCAATTATGCTCCTCTCCTACTACGTTAGTCTATTAGGGCTGCCATAACAAAATAGCACAGACTGAGTGGCTTAAACCACAGAATTTTATTTTCTCACAGTTCTAAAGGCTAGCAGTCTGAGGTCAAGTTGCTGTCAGAGTTGGTTTCTGATGAAGCCTCTCGGCCTGACTTGTAGATGGCCACTTACTAACTATGTCTTCACATGGCACAGAGAGTGAGCTCTGGTGTCTCTTCCTCTTATAAGGAGATCAGTCTTATTGTATTAGGGCCACACCTTTATGATCTCATTTAACCTTTTACCTCCCTAAAGTCTCTGTCTCCAAATACAGTTACACTGGCGGGTTAGGGCTTCGACGTAGGAATTGGGGGGTAATGCAATCCGGTCTGCATTTTTTCCCATGGCTTTCCATTTCTGCTGGATCAAGACCAACCCTTTAGCATGACATTCAAGTTCCTTTCCAATTTGACCATAACCCGACTGACTTCTCCTACCACTCTCTTCCTTCCCATATACCTCTCCCCCACCCCCAATGTAACCTACTCTGTACGGTTGGTTATCAACCACCGAAGTGGTGAATGGTTAAAATATATTTTTGCTAAACCTAAACATACACATTATCCTGTACATTAAGTCAAATGGGTCCTACAATACAGTATAGAAGATTCTATTTTTGAGAGTAGAAGAGGCCTAACAAAACAGCAAGCCAGCGGGAAAGAAAGAGAATGTTACTGAAACTGTGCTTAATCAGTACTGCACAGTACAGTTCTCTTCAAACGATGCCATGGTGCAAAAAGCAACCAAGAGAATCCTACAGTTTCTGAATGATCTTATATCCTCACACATACTATGATGTAGTATTCCTGACAGCCAATTTAGTGAGTGTATGTCATGTGCTATACACTACTAAGCAAAGCAGGTTACATGTCTCTTCTCATATTCTCCTTAAAACAGCCTCATGATGATTATCCCCATTTAATCAAACAAGTCTTAAATGATTTTCCAAAGTTCCCACAACTGGGAAGTGCCAGAGCCTAGATTCAAAGCCTATATCCTAATTCCAAAGCCCATGAGATCGTTGTGTTGTAACGATTGCTGGCCATGGCATTATACAAGTATACTGCCATATACTCTAAAATTCAAAACTACAGTATGAATACAAGTGTGAGAAACACTGTTCCTAGCCCTGCAGCTGTTTCTTCAACCTGCAATGCACTTTATGTCTCTACCTAAAAAGCTCCTCCTCATTTACCTTCAAGGCCAAGCTCAAATGCCACCTTCCCTGTGAAGCCTTCCCAGAGGTGATGTAGAAACTAGCAGGTGAACGGCTTCCTTCTCTATGCTCTCATAGCAAGTCCCATATACCTCTCATCCAGTATTTATCACAGTCTCTAATCTGTGTTACAGGTAATTATGTATGTTTCTGTCTTTTCTGCTAGATTACAGGTACCACAGTATAGTGAACTTTGGAGACAAAGTGGGTTTGGAAGTCTAATTCTGCCACTTACTATTTGTGTGACTTTAAGCAACCTATTAAATTCCTGTGAGATTCAGCTTCCTCATTAAATTCCTATTAAATTCCTTGAGGTTCAGATACAGAAGGAGGCATGATAAAGATATCCATGTCATAGAGTCGATATAAGATGTAAAGTGCCTGGCCTTAGTTTGCCCTCCACAAACGTTAATTTTCTTTTCTTCTGTGAGAGCAGAGGTCATTTCTTATTTGCTTAACCCTGGTGCTTTTCCAGTTATTGAAACTCAAAAATTTGTTGATTAAATAAATAAACAACTGCATAATTAAGTAATAAATGAACATATGCTCTATATAGTGATATTCCATTTTGTTTAGCCTTTCCACAAATATCCATCTAGAAAATTTTCTAAGCTGATAATTTTTGCAAAGATACTCCCAAAAGCTAATCTGTTTGCAATCGGCTTTTGGACCATTTTAGCATATCACCTCTCTTCTCAGTTTTGCTTTTACCTCATAGGTCTATACTGAGAGGAAAGATAACGCACTTTAAGTACTAAAACAGACTGTTTTTCTCAGTCTATAGTACCCTCTCTGCATTGCTACCACCACCATTCTAGAATTTTTAGCTTTAATAAAATATTTACAATGATCTATTTACTTTAAGAGAATCTTCTACATGTTTTAAACATCTACACTCATAAGTAAATTCCTGGTACAATTTTCATTTTAAAATGAGAAAAATATTTCCCATCAATTCTCTTAAAGGTTTTTTCTTCCACTATTTCCTTAAAATTAATGAAAAATCTAAAGACTTATTTTCCATCTCTCCTAAAATTACCTTTATAGCTTTTTCTCCTCAACTGATATTGGTTTTTCAGTTGTTGAAATTTTTTGAAACTTTAATGTTATAGCCTCCATTTTGGAATATTTTCCCAGTATACATTATAAATATTTTTGGTTAGTGGACAAAATGCTATTAATCTCAACTTCTATTTCTGTGATGGATGTCCACAGCAGAAAATCATAAACAATTGAGTCTGTCAAGATTAGATGGCTTACTCTGTCCATAAAGGGAACCTTATAGCACTATACTGGATCATTATTCTTCCTTTGAGAGTTCTAAAGTAGTCTGAAAACATTATAATAAATGAATAGTCAGCTCATTCTTTGAAATCATAAAACTAATTTGCTTTCTAGTTTCACCACCTTTAAGAAATCTCTTTAGATGATTATCTCTTTATGAAAAGAATTATAAATGATTCATTTTCTGGGAGAAGGAAGAAGAAATCAGAGCAGCATTTTAAGATGCGTATGTAGATGACGCATTCGGAAATGTCCACCTGGATTCTAAGTTTTAACAAGAGTGAATATAAACTAAACATCTTTACAAGGAAGTTATTCAATCTGCAGATCAGCATCCAGATAAACCTTTTCCTAGGAATGGGGTTTTAATCTGTCCTGTCACACAGCCTACACAGCCAATACTGACTATAGTGTAAGTCTAACTCAAAAGTGAGTTTGGTGTATGGCACTTCCGTGAACCAGAAGCAAATCATGCTATGATGAGGACATTCTTAGAAGAAGAAGAATCTAAGAAGCTTCACAAAGGTGTATTTTTAGGCACTGAATTATGAAAGTGGAAAACTTTAATGTTATTCTTTGTTATCATACACTTTCACAGTAGTAAGAGGGATACTCAGAATTACTGAAGTCAGTGTAAAGAGTCAAAACAGAGATGCAGGGAATTTCCTCTGTGTCATCGCCAGGATGCTCAAACAAAATCCTCTTTGGTGTCAAATTGATCAGGATTGGCTTCCCAGACAAATCTAAGTTTTCTCAGTAACAGTGTTATCTGGCTTTGTTTTAGTTTTGCTATCCTACCCTAATGTAATATTAACGAAGTTCCTTTTCACCCATAAACCAAATACCATTAGGAAGTAGTGGATTTCTCTTTCACCAATGAAAGATACTAAGTCATTTAAATTCTTGTCATTCCTAATTTATCAAAGAATTCAAGTGGAAGAATCATAAAACAGACTGTGTATTCACATTAACAAGCAAATATTTTGGTAGCAAATGATAATTAAAAGATTATATAAATATGAATTACTCTTTTATATTATCT